ACGCTCACCGACCACTAACGAAACTCACTTGTCCCGCTCTGCCTTAGGTCTCATTTCTCGAGCGCGGACACCAGCCGTTGTGGTTAGAGGTCTAAGCAGATAGTATTGTCAGCAAGGACAAGGGAGACTGGGATGGCCACTTCTGGTTTATTAGCCGTCATCAGCCAGTCATATCCAACCCCAAGTGATGCACCAATCGAGGATCAAACTCGCAATCTTTTCGATCAGCTTTAAGGTCAGGAGATATTGATAAGCGTTGAGGAACGCTCACTAACCGCTAACGGAACTCATTTTGCCCGCCCTACCTTGGGCCTCATTTTTCGTGCCCTGATAGCAGCCGTAGGGGCCAAAAGTCTAGGCAGATAGTAGGTCATTATAATTATTTGGGCTTTAACACACAGAAGGATTGACAAAAAGGGAAGCAGTAGTCGGAGGCAATAGTGTGCAATTGGAGCAAAATGTACTTACCTGTTCCTCTTGCTGTTGTTTAGCTCTGTTTTGCTCGGCTTCTTCCTGCTCTTTCAGTTCGTCCAGCCTGAATTGGAGGGGGGGGGATGGAAATATGCTGCCGTAGGTATTATTTCGGGGTTTCAATAACAGGGAGGATTAGATCTTTAGCACTACCCTTTTTGAAATTTTCAGCCGTGTGAATATTACCCCTTATAAGGGCACAGGCCTGATAGAGCAGAAAAGGGCGCTTAATGCATCATGTTACTGATAGGCGAAAAGGGCATTAATAATAACGTGGATTTACTGGACTCTGCTGGCTTGAAAGGAAAATTAAATCATAGAGATTGGATCGATGGAGAGTGTGATGGATTGGTTATGGTGCTAAGAGTGGAGGGGAGGTCTGGTCCCGATGAGTTCAATTCAAACCAAAAACCACAACTACTACGTGCCAGATTCTGAGTACGTCTACTGTCACTATAAGCTTATCAAGACGGATAGAATAAGATCTTAGACGAACCGGGAAGATATTTTTGCAATCAGGTCCTTGCCAACTAGGTTAGCAATCGACCTAATCACTTGAAGGGCTGATGACAGAGTCTCCGAGTCAATGTCCGGAAGCGTGAGAAACTGTTCTGCGACCAACTTGACAGCTCCACCCTCAACGATGAAGTCGATGTCCTCAGTTAGTTCAGAAAGCTGTCAAAGAGAAATTG